AAAAAAAAAAAAAAAAAAAAAAAAAAATTCGCACAATGTATTCGGTTAAAAAAAGAAAAGAAAAGAAAAAATCAGAATTTTCTATCGTTACTTCCCTCGAATTCGAGGTGCATCTATTCACGTACTCGATTAACTATCGTCAACAAAGACACGCGGAGGACGCGACGACATGTTCCATCGAGAGAGCGAGAGAGAGTTTGCAATGCAAATCAGGAGTCGATGCGACGGAACGGTTGGTGGAAAGGGTTCATGCACCCTGTTCCCTCCCCCCTTTGACTATATAGATAGGTGCGAAAGCATAGTTTCGTGCCATCACCCCCTTCAAACCACGCACGAACCAGGTAACGGCGTAATACGCGCGAACCCGATTGATTAAGTGAGGATTACGTCTAGCAGATCCCTGCCAACTTGGGAATCGAATGCTATCGAGTAATGGAGTTAGCGAATTAGCGTTATTACCAACTTGAGCGAAATTTCCACGCTTCGACAATTTCCCCTGTGAAATTTTCCGTGGAAATTGTGCGATTTGCAAAAAAGACACGCGCTCCCATCGATCAATAAACGATTTAATAATAATAATAATATATTATGGAACAAATGTATACTGAAAAAAAAGTAAAGGATTTGTTAGAATATAGAATCAATTAAGAAAAAGATATGTATCTCGAAATTATCGAGATTTTGATTTTCAAGTCAATAAGGGAAGACAAGGGAACATCAGGAATATTTCTTACAAACGCGAGGATTAAAATAATTAAATAATTAAATGTTTATAGTATCTTGATGAACTTTTGTAAATTGAATTGAAATTTAATTAAAAAAGTATTTTCATAAAAAATCGAGCAACGTGATGAAAAATCGAATCGTGAACAACTATGATCCATTTATATTCTCTAATTATTTAATTTAGAATAATGAAACTCTTTAATCTGCAGAATATACTTTCGATACTAACACATTTGTACTAACATTCATCAATTTATTAGCACGCGTAACTCTCTCATTCCGTACATATATCACCATTATTTTTTATTAACTTTTCCATTTTTTATTTCTTTATTCCATTTAATGTGTAACGAGCCCCAAGAACCTTTTATATTCTCTATTTATATAAAGTCGTAATATCTAGTAAAAAAAAAAAAAAAAGAAATTAAAAATATGACATTAATAAATCATTATTATATTTCCAATCATATATCTGTGGACAGATTAAATCTCCGAATCACAAGAGATGTAACCTAACTAAAGCGATATTTCATCTCTCGATCCCCTTTATATTCTCGATCCTTTGGTATCCTCGTCTATAGGGATACTTATCTCAGATAATTTTTGAATTCTTATATACTTACGAAGAGACTCTCTTCTCGTGTTCTTCTTCTACAGTACGTCGAATACGTGGTGCAAACTTTCGGCGCGTGTATCAAATTTCCGCGGAACTGTGACGTTTCGAGAATAGACACACTCACCTTGTCCATCAGCTGGCGCACTATTCCGTTCCACTCGCCGGTCTCGTAATTGTAAACGCCGTACTTGCCATCCGGAACGAGCTCGATCCTGTAGCCGAAGCCCACCATGTGAGCTATCTCCTTGAGCAGATCGATGCAGAAGCCCTCGTAACGTGCGTTCCCGCTGAAATTCCCTCTGTTCTTCACCATAACGTATGGCTGCTCCTATGGGGACCACAAAAAGGAGGCTACTACCTATCCTCTTCTTCCACTTCCTCTTCTTTTTTCCCCTTTTTCCGACCTCTCCTTCTACATTATTTTATTCGTATACGTTTCCTGCTACCCTTAACCCCTTCTCCTAGCCTTTTCAACCCTATCCTTCTAGCGCTTTCTTTCGTTCTCTTTTTATTTTGATATCGATCCTCTTTTTCTCCGTTCCTCTTTCGGTTTCGGTACACTGGATTTCTACTAGATTTTTTTTTCTTAGCTTTTCACCCATCTCTGTCATCTCGTAACGATAATCGTAAGATATAGTAAATATATAAAAGTGAAAATTTATTTTTTTTCAATTTATTTCAGTTTCAGAGTTTATTTATTTGTTATATCTTTCACAGATCTGCACTCAAATTTTCTGAATAATTGTCACGCGAGGAAAAGAATTATGATTTCAATTATCGATTATCAAATTGTTTCACGTGCCTCGATCAATTCTGATCGATATTTACCGCAAATGTACGACCTCGTACTCAGCGTCATTCGATGCTGATTACTGGCTAAATGGATTACTACTCGATAGACTATTACCACGAGAACTCCCTCGAGACAATGTATCTACTATGTACGTGGAAGTCTATGAGAACTTGGATGCAAGAACGAGGGTTGCGCTACCCTTATTTTCATCATCGTTCCGCTTGTTTTAAAGAAATTTTCGAAGGGACTAAAGCAATTCAAAAAAATCGAGTGATAGTTATTTTATATATTTATATATTATGTATACAAAGTATTGTATAAATAAAAATTGATTTATAATTATGATTTTTTAACGAAAGCTATATATAGAGAATTGATATAGAAGATAAAACAAATAGAAGAGAATTGAGGCTTATCAAATTATTTGTAATTTATGATTAGATGAAGGTAAAATGAGACAATAACGTGACAGAGATAGAGCTGTTTCATCTATCATGCTCTCTTCATTTAAAATTTAACATTTTTTTTTATAATTTAATTTTTTATACACTAACTTATGCGTTTATTTCAACCTCTAAAATCAATCCTTCCATGAGTATACCTATGAATAACATTAACATCCCGTATATCTTATGAGAGAACGAAGACGAATCGATTATACGATGTATGAAATATTGCTTGCTTTGCCCAAATTTGGCCAAAGTTTATCGTTTCTTAAACTCGAAAAACGAAAGAAGAATGATAATCGCGCGTAGATTTCAATGTAGATACGTGTTCGTTGAGACGTAAAAAAAGATGGAGGCAATTGGTGGTGAAGTTGTTCGCGGTCGAGTAATTGGAAAATCCAATTCATTTAAGTTTAATTTAAGTTCACCGCTGGATAGAGTGTTTCGGTAAACGGGTGTGAGGCGTGCTCGCACATCGAAGCTTCGGTATTCCCCGAATTGCAAATTAGTCGTGTGTGTTCGCGGCTTAATCACGTCAACTTGCAGTATTTCGAAAGAGGAACAGAGAAAGAAGGGGGTGAGTTCGTGAAATTTCGATAGATAGATCGTTGACGAAATTCTTGATTAACTTTTTAGCCGTTGGTTTATCTATTGCGTGACTATAAATCAGAATCGGGTATATTTATTCAGAAATAAAAATAAGAAACAGAGAGACGAATTAATTGATTCGAATAAAATAAAAAATAAAGATGTTTTCGAATAAATTTTAAAGTATTATTTTCAAATGATCTCATAATTGGTTTAACAAGTGAAAAAACTAAACAAATTTTTTATTCGAATAAGAATTTATATTGCTAATACCCAATCCTATTAACTTGTTAATCCCTTGCAGATATTTTACTAAAATATTTAAAAAATACATAATAGATATTATAAAATTAAATTAATATCTGCAATTCTTAAATTTTTTCTCACTTTTTTCATTATTTCAAATTTTTAAAAATTTGTAATAACTTTACAATTTAAAAAATCTTCGAATGCAACTTTTAAATTTTTTCCTTTAAAAAAAGGATATTAAATGCGTACAATTTTCTTTTTCTATGATTATTTGTACATATTTGTCCGCAAAGGATTAATCAAACATATTTCTATTGCGAATGAAATGTCTGTCTTGGTTCACAATGTTTCTCACTTACACGAATATCTATTATGATTCACGATTTATGGGCTTTATTACACGTCACGTAGACACTAGCGAATAATTAACGTATGTCGTGATTTATCTTCGACTTATCAGTCAAATTGATATAAGTCGAGCGGATGATCGATCACGATGAGATCTTGGTCAAATCAAGAGTCGTCGAAAAAAATGAAATATCTATTACGCTATTCAACGATTATAATTCAAATAGAAAAATGCCTGGTGAAAGTACTTTTGGTCTTCCATGTTCTATGAATCTTTCTTGCGAGGTGATTTTAATCGAACTCGAGAAGAAAAAAGAAGAAAAAAAAGAAAAAAGAAAAACGCTTCCACAAATTATACGATAAATTTTCATCTTGAAATTTGTCAATCTTCACTGTGTAACAATTATTCCACCCTTGAATCCTATCCAGGCTTAAAAAGTGTTCACGCGTTTGCGTCCATTTGTGTAGAATTGTACTCGATTACCCATTTTATCTATATATTTGTGTTTACAACAAACCTAAACTTAATTCACGTACAGTGCATCTATATATATATATATATTCATAAATCCTTAAACTTTAGTGTCTAGCCTAATGTATCTAAGGTGCGTTTTGTGTTTGTTCACGACACAAAAAGATATCCTTCGACTAACACATAAAAGTGTAAGTGTAAATGTGTTCTAATTCGAGAAAAAAAAAATATATATATAATTCTAGATTTAGTTTCGTGGAAATAGAGACAAGAGACTTGTGACAAAAACATGTGTTTCTATATTAACAATTATTCTAAGTGGAGAAAACCACGCGTATGGGCGAGAAAGTGGGTGTGAGAATGAGATAGAGAGACACAAAGAAAGAAATAGATAGATAGATAGAGAGAGAAAGATAGAAAGAAAGAGAGAGAGAGAGAGAGAGATAAGAGTGAGATGAGAGAAATTAAACAAACCAAATCATACATGTCGCATGAGCTCTCTGACGATGCCGTTCCATTCCCCGGTTTCCGGATCTTTCGCGCCGTACTTCCTGTCCGGTACCAGCTCCAATCTGTATGAGAAGCCGACCTCCCTCGCCACCGCCTCCAGTAGGTCGACGCAAAAACCGTAAAACCGCGCGTTCCCCGTGTAGTTTTTTTCGTAGTGCATCATCACGTACGGAATTTCCTGTGTCGCAACGGGTGTCCATGCAAACAACGGAACACGCTGTCAGATCTGGACGATACACGAAAATTTTGCGCAGGGGCGGCTATACGTTTCCCTTTATCCTAATCGCTCTCGAGAGGCCTCTTTTTCTTTTTTTTTTTCGAATAGGGGAGATTCGAAACGATGACTATTTTAATTCGGATACGATTCCATTTTTTCTTTTTTTTTTTTGGAAAATTTTAACAAAATAAAATATTTGCAAGATCGATATTTTCAGTTCTATTTTCAGAAAATTTTTGGATTTCTTTTTATCGAAATTGGAGAGATTCGTAATGATGTTCGACGATGACGGTTGGAATCATTTTTAATTCGGATAATTTGGGAAATTCGTCAATTATTTATTTGGATAAGATTTTTCCTGTTCTTGAAAATTTGAAGAAAAAAAAAATAGAAAAAAATTTAAATGGAACTTTAAGAAACCTTGAGAAACTATAATTTTCCATAGTCTATATACCACGATAATTTTAGTTTCCACTCGGTGATTTCCATTCCACTCGCAGAAGGAAATGGCCCTCGGCTAAGAATTCCTCGGCCCAGACTACAACATCTGCCGGTTATTCGATCGTTAACGATTTCACGACTCGTCGATGCAGTCGATTTTATTCCACGGATGCGTGGAGATTTTATACCATTTCACCCTCCACGGAATTACGTTACGTTACTACGGATACCGGACATAAAGTACGAGATTCCGCTACGCGAACGATGCAATCGGCGTTTATTACTTCGTGGACCCATAAGTTTTCTTTTCCCCCAACCAATGGATGATACTCCTTAGCTGCTCGTATTCGAGGTCTTTTAGAGTGACGTGTTATAGCTCGTGTGCCTGAAATGTCTGGGTCTGAATTGTAAAATGAGTCGATCATCGATATCTCCACGATGCGATCGTTCGACTTGGACTTTTTATATTATCCTGTTGTTATAGTGGGATTTCGCGAGAGAAAATTGAACGAAAGACACAAAGATAGAATTGTATTATTAAAGAATAGAAAACGCGGTTTATCTTTTGATGGTAGAAATTGATTTTATACAGGGATGAATATGACGTTTAGAAGAAGGAGATAAGTGTATGGTTGGCGACTCACCAATATAGTGATGACGAGAAGGGTGACATTCGCTGCTCCTGGCTCGAAGAAAGCCGCGGTGTCGGTCACGTTCACACCGATGCCTGGACGCCATTCACCGACCTGTTTCAATTCCCATTTTAATTCTATGAATAAATATTAGGGTGGAAAGAAAAGTATATATATAAAAAGAAAAAAATGGTAAATAAAAATAATATCTATACAATAATATTCAAATTTTGAATTTCTGATGAGAAAATTTGTTAATTTAACATTATCTTTTTGCACATTAAATATCGAGAATCAAATTTCTTTCTATTATTTATTATTAAAAAAAGAAATTATTCTTTTGCATTTTGATTTTTATTTTTTCGTTCCATCCTAATGAATATTCTAAAAAGTACCTTAACAAGCGAATGTTGTTTCAACTTCAAAAGGTCCAATTTGAACTGAATTCTCCGCCCTTCTTTGAATTCGATAGGGCCAGAAATACCCTTCATCTCGACCTGGAAGAACGTAGAGAATACCACGGTCATTTTCCAACGACAATTTCCACTTCTCTGTTGTATTGTCATTTTGCAGGAAATATAGTTCCAAATAACAGCCCTTCAACCGAGCTATATATATATATGGCGTAACTTTCAACCCCTAAAAAGTTTCAGATCTCAGAGGTGCAAGTTCCAAGGAAATTTCATCCAAAACTTCAACTCGAGGAAGTCCAAATAA